ACTGCAATGAATCATATAAAAGTCTAAGTCTAAGTCTGAAACCCAAGTATTGAAGTGCACGTAGGCAACGTAACCGTGGTGACATGGTGTGTGTAATGTAAATATCACATGATATTTTCTTACTAAGTAATATTTATTTATCATAAAACGCTTGAATATTATTATTATTATGTAGGTACATCTTATAAATTACAATACTTGTTATTTTCTTCACCCATAGTCAACCTACATTTTATTAACAAGGCGCCAAAAGTCGTCGGACTAATGTTAAGAGTGTTAAGACATCAACATTCGACATTGAGCGTCAAATTCAAAACCTGGCTCACACCCGTTTTTTAAATTATAATTGTTAACAAAACGTTCTAAAAAAAATTTGTAATTACTCGTATAAAATTTATTTTTAGTTCAGTTACTCAATAAAATCTTTAAATATTCAAAATCGCTAAATTTGGTGAAATGTACAAGAAAAATTTGTATTTGAATTGCATACCTACATAACAAGTTTCTATCGAATGTTAGTTAAATCTTGCATTTTAAGGCGCAGCGCCCACCAAAGTAACATGACGCGTGATGTGACAAGTGATTTTATAGTAACATGTTACTCCCAAAATTTGTTATTGAAGCATAGGAAAAATCACGCACGCATGTCMGTACACCGATCAAACATGAGTCAGTTTTGAATCATGGCTGGATTTTTGTCAGTGACAAAAGTGGTGTTTGCACTACTTTTGTCATTCATTATTTACTAGTCAGTCATTACACACTGCATATAATACATATTTAATTTCAAAAAGATATATTTTGAKTAATACAAGGTACCTAYATAGGCTCTGCGCAACACCTGTATTTGTTGTCTGTCTAAAAACTCGTAACACAGCAAATGTATGCTCAGCAGTTAACGTTTTACTCCGTTAGCTTAAAAAATTAGAGCGAATAGACCTATYAAGAAACTTGATAGTAAGAAAATTATCTGTGATTTGTTGGAAGTATTTTTACGAGAATTCAGTTTTTAAGTGAGCTATGTACATATAATAAATTGGAAACTAAAAATTCTCACAAGTAATAACTCACTTAAAAATTGAATTATCGTAAAAATACTTCCAATAAAACACAGATAATGTTCTTCATTCATATCAGAGCTCCAATAAATAATAATTCTAGATAGTTTTCTATGTAAAATGATACTATAAGCTATTGATTTAAATAGAATACAGTCTAATAAATATGTATTTATAATTTAATTTAATTGATTTCCGAAAAATCTATTTATTTATATTTAAAGTTTCAAACATTTTTATCCATAATTAATTTTTTTGTAAATATAGAAATATTTTAATCAATAAAAAATAAGTGTTATTTAAAAAAAATTATAGTCATAGTTGTAAAAATATATGTTTAAATAAAACTTCTAACCATTAAATAACTACCACTTTAGTAATGTGCTATAAAAATTTTTATTTCTATCTTATGACAATTTATTAGGAAATACAGAAAAAAAAAATTACAAACTAAGTATTTTTATAAAGATTTTGAAATAAAACAATTTAAATTGAATTTTTTTTATGATCTTTAAAAACATATTTATTTTTATTTATTAAGAAAGTGATGACTTTAGAGTAAATTATACAAATTGTATATGATATATTGTAGTTCTTTACACTAACATAACTATTATGAAAATATTTATAACAAATAAATTATTGAAATATTCCTAAATTATCATAGATAAATTTATAAAATATAAAGTAGTAGTAAAATTTAAAATTTATAGTTTATAATGTAATAAATAATAATAATAACTTGGATGGTGTATTTTTTTAAAATATTTTAGAACTAAGAAGTTGATAATTAAATAGCTATTAAGGTTACAATAAGTTAATTATCTTCTATCAAGTAGTTTACTTACATTTGCTTTCACTGATTGTTAGTATTTAAAGATATTAAAAACAAAATCTTTTATAAAAAATATTCCTATAGTTATTAATTGTTGTAAAGACCCTTTCATAAATACAATTTAAAAAATAGTACAAGATCTAAATTATACATATATTATAATCTCAAATGAAAACAAAAATTACTAATTATATATTTTGGTATACATTTTAACAATCAACAAAGTATAATTCTAAACAATTATTAATGGAAATAAATATGAACTTAAGATTAGTAACTTAATAGTAAAAACAATGTCTTTAAATAATTTGAGTTTACTTAAAAATGAAATAACTTAAGAAAAATAATATTATTACATTTATTATTGCAGTTAATTGTCTAATATAGTTTTTACATTGTTCAGTCCTATAAATTATGTTCTTGATTTCAAAAATCACATCGAGAGGGTGAATAAAAAATTATATTTAACAAATATATTTCCTTGTCTTTATAATTAAGTACCATTTAACAGCTCTAAGTACTTTTAAGGCACCTTCTATAAAAGTAATAATTAAAATAAACAATAGTTTACATACATCATGTAATATTAATTAATTTTATTATCATAACAATATTAAAACAACTGGAATTTCTTGTTTTTTATATAATTCAATCTAAACCTAGATACATAAATACATTTAATATATTATAATTACAAATTACAAATAATAAATCACTTATTTTTCAACATTCTTAAATCATGTTTATCACAATCATTATTATATACAATCAACAAATAAAGAGGAATGAGCAGAATCATGATTTTTGTTTAGATGACTTMATAGTCTTATCATTATTTACATTAGTGTTTTCTGAGTTTTGATAGGATTTAGCTGCTTTACTTTTCGCAGATAAAAATATTGGAAATAATTTGTGTCGCTTAATGCGTTTTACAGACACTTCACTAGGTGTTGGAGATACTAAAATATCTGMACGGCTAGATGCTTTTGAAATTTTTCGATATTTTGGATCCAAACTTGAATCTGAATTTGAATGGCGGAACATATCAGGAACGACCTATAACATAAATATTTTGAATTGTAATAAATAATAAACTATATGATTTTTCAAATAAATTTAATATTTAAAATTGAATATACAAAGTTGATTAATATGTAAGGTACATAACCTTTTTAAGAAATTATATTTTTTAGATTCTAAACATTAAATGGAACAAGGGATTTTCATTGACTYCACCATTGATTATAATATAGTATGTTAGTATTTACAATCAATGATTTAAATATGGAATACTTATTAGATCACAAAGTTGGAAAATTGAATACAATTTTCACTAGAGATGAAATTTCGAAATTTTCAGAAAATTCCGAACGAATAGCTTTAGAAAGACAAATAATTAAAATATACTAAAAATTTTTTAGTATAATAATACTATTTTAAATATAAAATTATTATTATTTTAATTTATAACACCTAGGTTGTAAGACGTAAGTATTATTTGATTTTTAAATAAAGAATTTTTATATTATTAATTTCAAATAGAAGCTTGCATTAGAATAAAGAATTACGCATTTTTGAATCAATATTTTTTTTATCTTTTATCAAATCGCAAAGTAAAAATAGTTTGAGTAAATATAATCTTAAATTATTCACGAATATATGTAGGAAATATGATAAAATAATAGTCTTACAACTGGCTCAGATGTGAATTGGTTGTTGTCAATATTGTGTGATTTCAGCATTGAGTCTGATGGTTGAACAGATTGCTGAGGTTGTTTTAGATCACATATGTCTTCGCCGAGTATGAAACAAGGTTTTGTATCCAAAGAACGGGTTTGTTGTTCTTCGTCCACGCATTCTAATTGATCGCTCCCTGAAGAATCCTGGCCGTTGTCCCGCCATTGTCCGGAATTTTCACAAGCACCAAGGTCTTGAGACGACGTCCCTGGAAATATATGGATAAAATTTAAAAAAAAATAAATATGTATGCAATAAGTTTACTGAAACACACAAGCAGATGAAAGTATTAATATTATATAATATTATACATGTACATAAATATAATATATGTGTATAATAAATTATATAAATAAAATAAAACTACATTTTTCATATAAATTTGAATTAAGTCACATGTATTTATGAGCATTAGTAAGATACAATAAAATTTTAATTTTAATTATGTTTAAATTATTATTAATTCATAATTATTACGAATATTAAAAATATCAATTATCTTCTTATTATTTATTTTTAGAAAAGATAACATTAATATATATTTTTCTTTTTAAATTTTACAATGGCTTATGCTAAATAATATATCTAGATTGCGTTGTTTTACAAATTTATATCCGCTAAATAATATCATAGGTCGATCCTCTAACAAAAAAATTATAATTTATAACCAAGCTAAGTACAACCTCTTATGAAAATATCTTTTAATAAATAAACGAGTCCTTTGAATACAAGAAATATTTAATTTAATTTAAAAATAATATTGTGTGTATAGTGTATACATATAATGATAAAGATAAATGTTATTGCCAATTAGACTAGAATTTTACTTTTTATTGTCTAACACCGTTAGTTTTGTTTTGAAATAATATTATTGATATATTTTCTTACCACAAAAACTCATCTTCATGCAGCAGTAAAAGTAAAAAATTAATTAAATTATTAAAATGCACCAAGTAATAATATCTAAACATATTAATGTATAGGCCAAATAATAACTAATGCTTCAAAATTAAAACAGCTAATAACTTGTAAAACTAAAAATACGAAAAAAAAAATTAAAATCTAAAAAACAAACATAAATAAGACGAGGTAAGCAAATAATATGTGGTATTATAAATACAAATTATACAAGCAATTTTGAACATAAAATATTAAATAATATACAAGCTCTCTCAATTGTTACAGATAAAAAATCCAAAAATATTCCAACAAAACAAATTAAGAAAAATACTAATTTACAATATTTTTAGTTTTGATAAATTAATATTTTCAATATTTTAATGATAAAAATGAATATAACATTTTTCAATTTCATTAGTATAATAATAAAGTTATTACAAAAATAATTGATTTAAATTAAGTTAAAATATAATTAATAATAATTAAAACGACTTGTTCATCTTGCTGTTAAATAAACTGGAGAACTTAATGTTTATAATAATAATTTAAATAATTTAAATAAAGCTCAATAGCTATATAATTAAAGTAATTATGGATTACAATAAAATACTTTCAWTTTTAATAGTATGTGGTATAAAAATAATTTATCTATTATAAACATGATAAAATAATAATTCATCGATAAATAGTTATAATTATAGACATCAGTAGTAGGTATTTCGGTTAAAATCCATTGTATTAAATCGATTAAATGTAAAAGAATGGAAATATCTAGTAAATAACAAGTACAAATGTGTATTTTTATTTCAAATTAATTGAACAATAATTAAATATTATTGCAAGCAATAGGAAACACTCGAAGAAACAGTTTAAGACAAAAAAGCAGTGGTAAATTTCAACCAATAGATTCATCGTCCCTTCCCTTACCTGGACCCACGCAAACTGAATACTGGCTAGAATCATCTTCAAGGTCATCTTGGCTACTCATGCGCCCTACAATCAAAAAACCAAAAATGTTATTACCTATTAATACAATTATCTTGAAATTGCGCTAACCTCGCAGTGAGAAGTTTCGCCCATTCACTAAATTTCTATATAACATGTTCTCTAAATGTGACAGACCATTATTATTGATGATATTGAACCCGCATAATGTTTCAATTTGCTTCCATCGATGCACCCTCTCTGCAAGTTCTTGAGTAACTTCATTTAATGATGTTCTAAAATATCAAATAGCATAAATTAATATTATTTAAATAATATATGAAAATGTGCTTTAAATATTACCTTGCTTCAACAATACTACGGTCAACATCATCAATTGATTTTCCATGAGTGGACACAAATGCACCCACTAAACTGGATCTTTTTTTACGTAACTTTTCACACTGTAAGGAAAATGTTATTAATTAAATATATTCATAATTGTTATTTAAGCTCAATATTAAATATAATATTACCGCTTCTCTTGCTTGCTGTAATTGTTTCTCAGCGCTTAATTTCTTTTTAATATAGGATTTATTTTCAATTTCATGTGTTAGTTGTAACCATTGCTGTAATCCATGTGGAGGGGTCCAACAACGGTCATCTAATTCACCTTCTGCTCTTGCCAACTCTCCTCTTAATGACTAAACACGTAAATTATTATTTGTAATCAGATACATKACATATATATTTACATATTTCAAATAATTATTTAGAATACTTCAATTTCAGTTTTGAGCTGAGAAATTTCCAAATTGGAATAAGAAGATTTCAGTACTGATGAATTTTCATCTTTAATTTGTTGTTCTTGTAATTGTTTTTCTAAATTTGCTTTTTCAGTAATAACAAACTCTTGTACTTGTTTTGCTTTTTCTAGTTCTTTCTAAAGTTAATGACAAGTAGAAAATAAAATAATATTAATTTTACACGAGACACAATGTAAAAAATGTATACCTGTAAATCTTCATAAGCTGTTTCAGCTTTTTGCAAACCTTCCATGTCTCTCATCATACGTTTTAAATGTAGAGTTGAACTTTTATTTTGGTTGTAAACATACCAAAACCCAATCAATGCTCCCAACAATAATGTTATTAAAACTAAATCTTTCAAATGTGTAACTGAATCTATTAATAAAACCAAAATATTTAAATTAAGGAGTTAATTATGAGATTAATTTTCTCATTTTTTAAAAATAAGTTGCTGACCTTTAGGGGGTCCAAATAGAACTACATCCATAGCTTTCAATGCAATTTTTTGCTTATGAATTGGATCCTTGATTCCGAGTACATTTGTCAAAAGTTGCATATTAGCAACAGCTAGTCTGAAATTATAATCATTATAAAGTAATTAAGATTATTATTAGTTCATAACTAATGAGTATGATTAACAAGATAGCAGGCTGTCAAAAATAAAATTTTAAAATAATACACTCAAGACATTAAAGATTATTCATTAAAATAAACTTGTCATAAACATACAAAAATTAGTAAAATGATATTCAAAATTCAAAGTTAGTAATCGGAACAAAAATGTGATATTGTTTCGATAACAGAAGCTTATGAATTTAATAATACGATTAAGTCCCTATTTTATATTTTAATTTTTATGTAAATTATGAGCGTGTAAATCACGACAAGTTAAAAAAGATTATAAATTACATACAAAATAAATTATTGTAAAAAAGCCAACTTAGTGATCAGGTAAGATCAGGTATTAATTTAAGAGGATGTCAGCGCACTATTTGTTTTCTCTCTCTGACCCACGCGTAACATAGACAAAACGCATTTACGAAGAATCATTTTTTCTAAGTAATTTTAGAGTAAAACCTTCCATTACAAAAAAGATAAAGAATTATATTTTTGAGGGAATGACATATTGATTTTATATTTTATTGATATTTGACTTTGTATTCGACTTTCAAAATAAACAAAAAAATACTGTACATTTAAATAATGTTTAAATTRTTTAGAGACAATATTTARAYAAATYGATATGYYATTCCCTCAAAAATATTATTTTCTATCTTTTTTGTAATGGGAGGTTTTACTCTAAAATTACTTCAAGATATAGAAAAAATGATTCTGCGTATATGCGTYTTGTCTATGTTACGACGTTACGAGTGAGCCAGACAGAGAAAACAAATGGTGCACTGATATCTTCTTAAGGCAATTTTATGGGGTTGAATGTAGGCAATATTCTATATCTATCGGGRGTGCAGTTATGTAGCTGTGTGTAATAACAGATAATTAAGTGTGAGCGTGTTCCCCGAATGTTTTACGTCATTAAAGATAAACTATGGCCAAGATTCTTGGAAATCCTWAACGTAAATACGCGCAAACACGCATCACTATCCTTTGCAATCAAAACAATTTTAACTGCTGTGGCTTTTAAGTTCCAAACAGCAAAAGAAAAATTTACTCGATAATTTAGCCAGATTTTGAAAACATATTTGAATTCCAGAATCTCTTTACAAGGTTTAATAGGAAATGGATTTTCGATTCGTTGTATTATTTAATTAGAACCCACTTAATTTCCTACACAATACAGACAAGAAGAAAACAAATCAGAATTTTCTTAAAAATGGACTTCTAAAACTATATTTTTTTCACTAATTTGTCAAAATGTACGAAATACAACCCACTTTCTMCAGCCTTTAAGTTTTAGAATAGGTKAATTTACTGTAATATTAAAAGTAACCACACAAGACACAGGAATGATTCAACTAAACGTGAATTTGAAATATTCCACGCGAGTCAGAGAGAGAGAGAGAGAGAGAGAGAGAGAGAGCTAAAACAGATGGGTCACTAATATTAAACTGACAGTCTCTGATTTCTTAAGGTGTACTTAGTTATGCATACAATTGCATATCATATATGATTATATGAATATTTAATGACGATTATTATAAAATATATAATATTATTGCTGACTTGATATTATCACAGATTTTATATAATCTGTGATATTATGATGTCGTTATTAGTGTCACCTCTACATGCTACTATATACTAGTCATAATTCTTAACACTGTGGTTTCCAATATTTTATTATATCCCCCTTCTAGGATGGTATTTAGGAATTCGTCTCCCGGAGCAAAAAAAAAAAAAAAACACCTTATTATACCGAATAAAAATTTAATACAATTTAAAAACTTGAAATTTGCCGGTTTACCGCCTCCTCATAATCAGCCGCTTGAAACAAAAATACCACGTCACGCCCCTAGTACATTTTCAAAATTCATATGCCCCCCCTTAAAATTAGAGTTTAGAAACCTTTTTTTTCACTTGTGAAGAGGTCAATCATTTTAAAATACTCGTATAATTGTTATCGACGGGCGAAATTGATTTATTATTTTAAATTTTACTCACTGTAAAATGATATATTATGTTGACAGCAAAATTCTAGTTAGGTCATCATCATTCATCACTATATCCTACCAGTGCAGTTCTAAATTCCCCACCGTTGGGAAACACTCGACTATTTAGATCACAAAGAAAATGTCAAGATAGAGTACCAACTTTGAATGGAATTTATTCTTATATTGTATACATAGATCACAATTTTAATTAGAAAAACAAATTTTTATAACTTTTTACAGTAAATGTTTATATTTCATGTGATCCTACATTCCTATATCTATATAATACAGCTACCTATAGTAATTTTTTGATTATGTGTTTATCATTAGTTCCAAAAGGGGAATGAAAATTACTGAAAAATTGTTTGATTTACTGTCGACAAAATGTATCTAAACATGCTAAACGTAAAACGTTTGAAATCTATGTCAGCTACTTGATTGCAATTCAAAAATTATAAGTCAGTTTGATCCAGTCTAATCCTAGATTAAGACTAGCCTAAAAACTTCGATGAAAAATTATAGGCGTCTTCTGTCTCCATATTTTTATTATAATAATTTTTTTTTTTTTTGTAAGGAGAACCCGCGGAAACATAGGCCATTGGGTGTGGGGTGGTATAGTAGGGGTTAGTTTTGTATATTTGTTTGTAGGTTTTTAAGTGGGTAGGGTTGTAACACGTGTTTGTGTATGTGTGGCAAGGATATGTTGCTAAAAATTCCGGGTGGTCACCCATCCGGGAGCTAGCAACTGCGGCCGGTACCTACGCTCAGTGTGTTTCCGCAGATTGAGCGTATGACCGCGCCTCACCAAGCCACATAATTATTAATTATTCATCTAACAACCGTAAAAATATTCATACATTATACAGGTTTTCCGGTATTGCGTTGTTCATACTCCATAGTTAACTAAATTTAATAATAATTGTAACAAAAGATAAAATATTAGTATAGATTTTACATTTTTACCTACTGCAGTTCTATCATGGCACTATAAACAAACGCGTAAACTAYGGAATAATTAATTTTCAATAACAACGTATCAACGTAACTAGATATATTACAGATATACGCTTTTCCGAATCATCTACGATTTAAAATACGGACTTGTGATTTTAATTTTCAAATTATCTTTATTAATTTAGTCTCCACRAAATAAGCTGTTTAGTCACATGCCCAAAAGCTCGTATAGTATATTTAACATATAAATAGTATAGAGTATAGCATAGTTATTATGCAGTTTTTACTAACCTAGGGAGATGTGCTCCGGTCACTCTATGTTGTATAAAATTAGGAACATATTGGGGTAGTTCCACTGATGTAGAAAGCCAATCACAAGTTTGCTCGACGGTCCAATTGTGTACCTACACGCATAATATAAAAAATCAACTGTATTTATAAATTCTAATATTATTTTAAATACAGGTACCTATATATAGATATTTAAAATTATGTTTTATATTATTGCGCATATATATTAAATTGTACTTACTTCAGACTTTACCCAAGCATCCCACAAGTCTTTAACAGATATATACATATCATCATTTTGATGAAATGCCTTTTGACGTTTTTCCGCGCCTTTTTCGTATTTTAATTCTTCACGAAGAAACTGTAGAAAACAAAACACAAGAAGCCAATCAAATTACATAATTCGTAAGACTTCAAAATGTTGACATAATTTTGGAATTCTAGGCAGTTTAGTTCAAGGTATTATTCACATTAATCAAGTTTAATTAATGTAAATAATTAAAATATTTTTTATTACATACAACATGTGTGAATAATGAACATTAAATCATTTTCTAAGAAGGATCATAAAAAATGAAAATGTGTAAATTGAAATAATTAGTTTTATTTCTTTGATAGTTTAGTTTCTCGTTGAATCAATAAATTGTTTGTAATAGTAATAATTTTCAATAGCCTTATGGTTTAGATTAACCTAGTAAAACCTAACGTATTGCATATAGAGGACTGTATATTGATCAACTATTATTAAATAACTCAAGTGTCAACCTTGGCCGACCATGACAAGTATAATGTAGATACAATAGGATCTTCATCTTAATGTGTCATTCAATTTATTGCAATGCACCAAAATCCAAAAGTAACAAAGGTCATAATTAAAATAAAATGTTGATTTAGCTTTAATCATTAAAAATGTCTAATAAATATGTATAGCGTTTTATCAGAGAAACATGATTCGAAATCAAAAGTTCATCATTCTCGTTATGATATTTTTTCAAAATAGATACTAGATAGGTAAGTTTACAGAGTATATTATACTATTAGTACTACAAACAGATAKAAACTTTTGGGTGTTGATTGTCGCTTCCTTCACAACGTACAGCGTAATAATTTTATAAAAAAAAAGCCAAAACAATAGGCTATACATTATTAATACAACAAAATTTAAAAAACAACTAACAATATTAATAAATAATAACGCAACAAGACTTTCCAGTTTTTCTAGACTTCGCTGAATTAAAACTTTTTAAATCAAAAGATTGGTTAGGTTTTATATTATTATTATTTTAAATCATGACCTTAAAATATGTCCTACCAACATTTTAAAATTAACATATGTTTCTATTGTAAATGTTTTTTTTACGAAAATATCCCATTGATGCAAGGGCAAAAACACTTTTAAGTTTAAATACCTAACTATAACGAATCATTGTATAAGGAAAATAATTTTGATTGAAGCTGAGTTTATTGCACAAAAATGTTCAAGATATTTTTTTATATTAATAGTTGTATACAAATATATATATATATATTATATATACATTTTCCGGATTTTGAATGTACCTAAGTAGTAAATCACAGTTTTAAATTTTAAAATATACCTGAATATTAGATATAATTTAAGTATATTTATTATATTTGGACAATTTTAAGAATTACAGATGTTGAAAAATGTGTAAACATTTTCTAAAATTTTGTAACCATCGTCGTTTCCATATCTTCCTTATCATTTATCATTGACTTTTTATGTTTAATACACGAAGTTATAAATAACTAAAAAACCACTAGTTTTAATTTGATATTGAATCGCCCACATTTTCAGAAAAAATATCCTCTTAATAATTTACAGCAGAAAAGGGTGGTTGTCATTTAAAAACAGAAGTTGGTATCTCCACAGGACATTTTTAAAGTAGTAAAAAAATTTCAAGAATTTGAAATTATGGTCTTTAAGTAAATTTCAAAATTTCAAAAACCAAATTTAGCAAATTTACACCGTTGAAGAAAAAACGGAGTGAGCATGCTTGGTTAATCACTAAATATATTGAGCATATCTGCATCAAATCAATTATATATTACCAACCTAAGGAAAGCATAAATATTTGAACGTCTGGCATGAATCCTCTTAAAATACAGGAATCATTATTAAGGCACTTTATTTTTGACTGTATTACCTACACGATATTCAATTTGATTAGATATTGCTAATTAATGTAATAGTAATACTTAACAGATGGGTGATGAAATAAAGTGATTAAGATTAATACTGATCATTATTACCAATATTTAAAAAAAATATTGGCTTTCCACCCTTAATATTTTATTTAAGACTACCATTTAATAATGTTTTATATAGATTACTTAAACGGATGAAAATCATAGTAATAGATTCATTAATACTGATTTATGACTTCAAATGAGACGTAAATTTAAATCTCATTTTTTAAATGCTTCTTACAGACGCACTCAATCGTATTTTTTTTATGTATTTATGTAGGAATGTTTTAAGTGCCAAATTCGTTCAACACACTATTTATAAGAAATACGAAAAATGTTTCACCTATAATATTCCTATAGGAGCAAACTGCCAAAATCTGGGTTGCCTGGGAGTATAATTTTAATTTGAAGCGGAAATATTCAGTACATTTTTTCGCACTACCATATGTATAAATAAACTACTAACAATATTGTGAGGGGGAATATAAATTAATTTGTGACTTATTTTCATTGATCCTATTAATATTGACTCAATTGGGAAAAATCATACATATAGAAACGTTACTAAAACCCCCGAATGTATTTACGTTTAATAATAAAATGATTATATCTACTAAAGTCATCATCCAATCTTTACAACAAATATAAACTTTTTTAAGCGAGGCAAATGTCGTCAAAGCAAATATGAATAAACAGAACGGTTGAATTCTAATAAGATTTTAAAATTCCAGTGATTAAAAATTTAGTTTTAGTTCTAATTTTTATATCGGTGAAAAATTATTATACATTAAGAAGATATTATAGATAAATTGTATTTCATATTATGGCGGTTAAAAATACATGACTTATTAGTTAGAGCAAATTAATAAAAATAGTTCAAATTACGCATTACGCATTAGTTAATGAATTAGATTTGTTTTAAGCGGGACACTAACAGCAGCAATAAATACAAAAGCTAAAGACTAATACTTAAAAACAATCTCATTAACATAGCTTAAAAAATAATTATTATTATTCATATTATGTGTATAGGTTTTTAGGCTACTGTAGTTTTGGAGAATATATTTTGAATGATCATTACAGACGTAGGTATACATATTTAAATTACGGATAGCATACCCATATGCAGAAATTTTTTTTTTAATAAATTTCAATATATTTTTTACATTTATATCAAAATAAATTGCATTAGTTTTAGGTGTTATAGTAATTAGGTAGGTACCTAATACCTATAAAGTTTTAAAACTATCTAAGTTATGGGTATATATTCAGATTATCCAATATTGCTGTTCAATTACCTATTTTAATATTTTAATAAATTTAATTTTTACTAATTTTTTGAAATATATCTTATTTACGATGCATTTAGACTACTTGTATTGTCTTGCGCTAGCCGCTAAGTCRCATCAAAAAACCAAATCCGAATAATATGAATAATTCAGAAAATTCATATTTATATATCAGATTGGAAATTTTCGAATTTTTGAATTTTATGCCATCATTATCTATGTCCGTCCAAGATGTGATTACAGATATTATAATTACGATTTATAAGTAWGGTGGTGCTAAAAATGTCACATTTTTTAATACTATAAGATTATAGTCAGCCTGTCACACGATAATTTATTGAGCCGAAATTTTTAGCCACTCCGGCGCTGGTAGAAAGCATTATTATTTAATTACAAATTTATACTTGCGGATGAATATTTCGATATTTATTTAAATAATATAAATTATTTAGTTTTTAGTGTTTGGAAAATTAAATAAAATTAGAAGTATACAGAATTTGTGTTTTAACACTAATACTAAACTTAATATTATACCGAGGTAGTAATATTGTATAATATAACGAGTAGAKGTGTGTACACTGTCTCTGTGCAATATTTAAGCATATAAATGAGTAAAAATAATATGTATTATGAATATACATATCGAGTACATAGTACATTACTCATCTACTTGTATGAAAAATATAAAGCTACAAAATATTTAAGTACTATCTTTAAAATAATCGTATGAAAAAAAAAATGGTAGGAAATGATAAAAACAAAATTAAATATTATTTTTATAATGTATATAATTGGAATATAATGTATTTATTTGGGGTCGTTGACATATCATATCCAATATCCACGAGAGACGATACAACGATCAATTCAATTAATAACCACAAATYGTTTAGTCAATAAAACAATTCAGTTCATATCCAGTACTAAAATAATAAAATATAAATAATGTCACTTTTGTTTAAGGACAATAACTAAATAAGCCAGGGTTGTTAAGAGGACAACAGACCCACATAAATGTTGTCTCCGCCTGGCAATACGATACACCAAATTTTAAGTTCAAAATAATCCATTTTACGCTCTTATTTTTAAAATTACAGTAAATTGACCTATTAAACAATTTAAAGGTAAAATTTTTACTTACAGCGTCCAAAGGGCAAGGGGGTTTATAATTCATATTTTAATCACAAAACATGTCATGAGAATTTTTAAACAACATTTATGTGGGGGGGCAAAAAAAAAGTTATTTAATTAATCATTTCTTTCGTAAAAATAAAACTACAATCAATAATTCGACAAAACATTAATTCTAATATGGTCTACTGAATGGTAACTATGAATCCGATTTTTTTTAAGCACAGATCAAGTGTTCATTTTAAGACAATTTTAACCCATGGTCTATAAAAAATGAACTACTATTTTAAAATATTAACAAATTTATTCATGCAAAATCTCTATAAATTGTTATTTTTTAATAAAATAAGTAAAACACATGTTTTTTATAAGAAGTAAGTAGATTTAAAATCGTTTATTTGATCTTATTCAAATAACATTCTTTAGAATTTAGATAAAACCGTATGTTGTATATAATATAAAAATTAAAAAGTATTAAAATAATACATGTCAATTTTTTTTTATAAAATAACTTTATAATAKACAAGGCTTAAATTAAACACCATGAAATTATTGTAGGTTGAAAAAATGTCTAATTTAATAAATATTCAAAAGTAATGGCATTCGTATAATAATCAAATAATTTTGAGGTTTTG